CTTTTTTTCTGAAAATATATTTGTCATTCAAAATGAAATGACTACTGGAGTTCATTATCTTTTGAACTTAAGTAAAAAGTGAAAGAATGAGAGTCAGCGGAGTGAACAGTTTTTCCTTTTGGGGAAGGTTTAAGGAGGTGAGGAACTAAAAAGGCATTTGTTTTATAGCAATCAGGCATTCTTGTGCTGACATGCAGTGTTTTTCCACTCCAGTTGACATGGTTAGGCATCCTCTGACACCCTGGGGGATGTAAATCAGAGGCTGAGGAATTTAGACTTTTTACTCTCTGGAGAAATGTTCACGGTATTTTAATGATTATTTATCTTTCCACCATACATTTACTTAGATGTACGTAGGTTTAAAAATGTATAAATGCATATTCCCTTTCAAATATTCAAAAGGTTAAAAAGGAAAAAAAAAAAAAAAAAAAAAATTGCCGACCTTTAGCCTGTATGTCTTGTTATCATTTTCCTATGCATTTTCCAGAGGTGTTCTAGGAACAGCCTGTTGTACAGCTGTTCTGCTCCAGCTGAACAGGTTCATAGGGAATGAAGAGCTTAGAGCAATTTGTAGGCAATGAAGCAAAAAGAAAAATCCACAAAGAAGCAGCTGATGTTAGCAGCTTTTAAAGAGATTGAAAGAAAAAGGTAAGAATAGGGAATTGAATGTAGAACAGAGAGAGAAGAACATGATTTTGGAAGAAATCTGAATTATGATTTTTCAAAACCAAAAAAGAAGCTGCAATGCTTACCTTATAAGCCAGGCTTTATCCTTTCATGCTTTTTACTGCCTGCCGAACAATGTATCTGCTTAGAATATGCAGACATTTAGCCAATTCTTTACCTTTATTGCACAAATGACTAGGAAGATGAGTCTGACAGCAAAAGCTGTATGTTAGAGCTCTGTCACTAAGAGGCATCTAGACTTGAATCAAGAAAGATGTTAGGACGTGCTAAAATTATTAATTTCATTATTTGTAGTAACATCTTTCTGAAAAGTAACCTGCATGTTAAACTCCTCAAACAAATCTTGCAGTGCCCGTTTTCCTTTTGTAATCTGGAAATAAAGGTGCTTAGTTCCTATAAAGATTATGAAGCTCAGTTCAGGGTATTTTTCACTATGGAAAACAAAACTCTTCATAGAATTGTGATTTATTACTCTGTCATTAGCATTAATAGAAATTGTTATTTGCATCTATTTCAACATTTAATTTTTCATTGCAATAGATCATTGAAAATTTTAAAGGGAAGACACACAGTATGAGTTTCCATAGCTTTGTTTATATCTTTATCACAGAGTCAAGTCCAGCTTCCTGACTTACATTACATCCTATGGGGATTGCTTAGAAAGGCAAGGAAGTTTATTAAAAAAGTGTAATAGGATACTAGATATTTTTTTGTACATATTTTCACAGGGACATGGTCTATATTGAAAATAAATATTTCATGATATAATCTGATCAATCATTATAGAAAAACAGCAAAACCTCTTTGTGAGAAAGAATGAAGAAAAACATTTTAAAATGTTGTAGCTACTGCATTTTTTAAAAACACATGCTAATGTTACCTTTCGAAGTATGCTCGATACTCCTGAGGTAAGTAATAAATATGGTACAATGTCATGGAGCAGAGGGATGCATTATTATTTTTAATTGGTTCTTTTACTACCTGTGGGTACGCACAGACAACAGAACAGTGTATCAAACTTACTTTTAACCTTTAGACTTAGAAGAAGCTGGACAAGGGGTGCAAAGTGTATTTTAAGTTATTATCCTCACAGTCACCTCACTCCCTCTCTGTTTGTAACGAGTGAACATGAATGTTATCCAGTTTGTAGTGTCAGTCCCTTACATAGTGTTCCACTTAGACCTGTTGTTTTCTCCACAGGTTCTGTCATGCTTTTCCCTCTGCTTTGTGTGACATGCTATAGATTGTGTCAGATAACTTCAACATGATTCCTGCTTAGGGGAAAAAATGTTAAAAAAATTAAATGAAATCACTTTTGAGTGATGGTAAAAAAGGACAAGACTGGCATATTTTTTTTGAAACATACATGGGTCATAGCTCAGACAGAGGAGTGTGACACTCATGCTTAGAAAAAGGAATGGGATGTTTTTAAATACTGCAGGGTAAAAGAACTAGATAAAACAGAATATTCTTCTATTATGAAGACATTATTATGCCTGAATGTTAGTATTTGCAGCACTGCTACAGCTCGTTTCTTAGTTTCAGATGATAGGTATTAACAGATAATAACCTTTTGCAGAGGTAAGAGAGAGGGTAAGCGAGGCTAAATTGTGCTTCTACTTTAGAGATGCCATTCACATTGTGGACCAGGAGAACAGGGAAATTGACTTTGCTGTATATGCGGAGTGGAATGAGAACTATGTGTTTTCTTCCCCTATCCCTCTGCATGCTCTGTCACGCATATTCTCCAACCAACAAATAATGTGAAAAGTAATAATGAAGGCTGATAGAGAAGGGAGCACAGTGCTGATAGCCTTTCTTCTCTTCCCTGAGAATCTGTGTTTCACAGTAAGGTATTAATATGAGCATGTTGGTGCCTTTACCAAAAATAGGCTGAGAAAATAATGTGGAGAAAAATAGCATTAAAACATCTTGCAGCAGTTTTGAGGAAGTAGCTAAAAAAAAAAAACAAAAACCATTGTTATCAAGGGAAGGAGACATCTTATTTTTTTTTTTTTTTTAAAAAAAAAAGAAAGTTAAGACTTTGACATTAGAAAGCATCAAAGCTAAGGAAAGTGCTAACAAACATTTTACTACTCCTAACTATTTCATTCAAATTTGTACTGTAGTTTTCAGATTAATTATTATATTTTCCCTGTCTAAAAGCTGTTCTGAAGAGGTGAAGAATGGAAGGTTCCAAATTCTCTCTTCACTGAAGCAGATGTCATTAAGTGTCCAAGCATTTACACCATACACGTAATTCTGCCTATGGTTTTGTTTGAGTAAAGCTAGCTCAGCAGCAAAGACAATTATTTTGAGAGAACTTTTATGTTACAGCTCTTTATTTTGCTACTGAGGGTTCTCTGTGTTTATTGACTCCATCCTGGGAATCCACCTCATTTCTTGGCTGCAATGACCTTTGCATTTATAACTTTTCATCAGTTTCCAAGCAGTCAGTTGAAGATGAATGCTGTGGTATTAATATGTTTATCAACAATTCTTGTGACCTGGACATAATTCCCTACCCTACCCTATCCCACCCCTTTCCCTTTTAAGATCTGCTCTAATGCATTTTGTTGAAATCCAGGGAAAGTATTAGGTTCATTGCTTCTCAGATGGATATCACGTTTTATGATTTTAGGCTTATATGGTAAATGTATCAGATTGCCCTTTCTATCACAGTATACTGCTTTACTTTCTGCTTTAGTGTGAAGACATCTAATATCCATTCATTACACCATGTCAATGCTTCACTCTTATTAGTTACAGTAGTAACTGTAATCCAGTATTCTTCTTGCTTCAGTGTTTTTCAGCCATAAATCTGAGATTACTTTACAAAGGAGTTAAATATTTTTACCCCTGTCAACATATCAGGAAAGTGAGGTACATAACTGGGAGGAACAGAAACAACTTGCTCCAAACTAAACTAAGATAGCTAAGCCAGATGAGGGGACAGAAGCCACAATTCCTAATACTCATTACTGTCATCTATTCCCCCAAAACTGAGGTTATTATGTCCCTGTGAGCCTTTTTAAACCACACCTCATTTTTTGTTCTCATTTCTCAGTAAGATACAGTCTCCTTGCCTATTTCTAACAAAATTGATCGCAGGCAATTTTATTGAACAAACATTACATGATGATGCCTGCATGGATTTCTCCAAATACTGACATGCTCAGTTTAAATTAAATGAAGTTAATTAAGTTAATTCAAATTAAGTTTTTATATCAAAAATCTCTCTACTGCTTGTTCAGGTCTAGTGTATTTTGCTACATCCACATGATAAAGATAAACCTGAATAAGGCCTTGGATAAGCAGTACTATCTGTGAATATATCTTTTATGCTGTCTAAATATTATTTTGCAATATATAAAAAAGTAACATAATAAACAAATGTTTAAAAAATCACCTACAAAAATATACACTCCCTTTGGATGTGACAGTGCCTCTAAAACGTTGTTAATAACTAGTCCTCTAGAAACAAAATCATTTCATTTAAAAAAAGAAAAAAAGAAAGAAAAAAACAGAGGCCGTCAGTTTACTCATGACATTTGAGTGGATTAGTGCCAAATTGCCTCTGAAATATATTCTGGTAGTCAAAGTTTAACAAGAAAATACATACCAAAACACAATCTGTGTTTGAAACAGAATAAATTTTTGGTAATAATTTACTGAAACTAAATTTAGTTCTCTAAAAGCTTATTTATATGGAGACTTTCAGGAAAATTAATCTGTAAAAACAAATTTAAAGTGGATTAGTTAAACCTAATTAAGTCCCTGTATAGACGTTCATTCAGAATAAAAATTGCTTTGATTTGGTTTAACTTAACTCCCTTCCAAATGAATTACGACTACCAGAGATTTAATGTAGTTTAAATAATCTACTTTAAAAATTAAATGTAGAATAATTTTCCTGCATGTCTCTGTGTAGACAAGGGCTCTGGAAGAAATCTGTCTGTCTGACCCTTTCCCAGATGTTAATACAGGTGTAGACGTTAACAGAATTTCAAATACAAAGTCTTGTAAAACATGTTAAATCACTCTAAGTTCTGAAGTACTCTCTTAAAAAGAGACAGAATGCAGGTAAGTAAGCTATCTAATAGGTAGGAATTTATGATATGAGGAAAGGACTATCTTCTAATGGTGCCTAGAAACTGCAGGAAAAGTTTTCAGGCTAACTTTTGGTGAGTGAACATGACTTACCAAGAGAAGGAATGACTGGAAATACTAATTTTCTACAGGTAATAGGAAGATGGAACATGACTTCTATCATCTGTCATCTGTTTAGAACATGATAGGTTCTTTATGCTGAGATTCCTGTTACACACCAGTAATAATCCCATATAACCAATACAGTATTTATATTGTTCTTTGACGGTGTGTTTTGTAAAAGGATAACATTTCTTTCAAAATTTCAGAGTACAGTTTTGTACCATAGGTCTGAGTGACTGACTATTTGAGCAGGCATAAGGTCGGAGAGATTCTTGAAGAAAAATAACACCCATTTTTCCCTGTAGCTGTTCTGTGCGGGAATTAATATGGAAGCTTGGAGGAATGTACAGGCATGGTGACAATGAATTTTGAAAACATCTCTTCCAAGAAAGACCTTCTTAGTGTTTTAAAATAACTTCTCTCATGGGCAGGAGAGACTCAGATTGCAAATGATAACAGTAGCTTTTGTATTGGTGATTTCATAGACTCTTTCGGAGCATAGTAGGTAAATTCTTCCCATCTTGTCTTTTCTCTGCCAGTTTTGCAATCTTTCATTATTCCAATTGCAGTTCAGTTGCAATGGAATGTATTTTTTTAATAAGAGACTTCAGAACCACTATAATCTGGGGCTAAAATGTTTTTATCAGAGTTAAATTATGCCCCTCTACTTAAATGAGTAGAATTAATTATACATTGGTAAATCCTCCACTCAAGCAGAATTCAGAATACTGAGAATGATATAAAAACCACTGTAAGATGAAAAAACTATGCATAACAAGTTACTGATACTTAAGAAGACTGATAGTTCTGCATATGAAGTAAACAACAATTTCTGATGTAGCTGATTTCATTTTCAAAATTTCAGCAGTATTCTTCTGTTCAATTGATTTTTACATGGTACAGTTTAAAAGCTGGTTTTGTTTCTCTTTGCTTGCTTAGTAACAAGCATCAGTAGACAGCAAATTTCCAATCACTATAATGAGAAATGTCACAGAAACACACAATGCAAGAGCACTAACTTTACATACTGATTGCACTGGATTTTGAAGGAAGAGGAAGGAAAAACGAAATAAGAGAATGGAATAACAGAATGATTTTGTGAACTACTTGATAATATCCTTCACATTTTATCTTTATATGAAATAAACCACACAACAATAATGAAACTATCAGTGGTGCATAAATGTCGTTCTCCACACCTCTACATCATCTCTTGGGTAAATGAAAAAATTCTAACAGGGAAAACCACAGGTAAACTGTGCAAATGGTGAACTGTAAATACAATGTTTAGGTCATTTCGAAAAAGAAGTTTTAACAAACAAAACCAGTTCTGTTGAGGTAACTCCTCCTTCAGGCCCACTTACAAGCCTCCATCTTTTGTTGTCACACCTCTGTGAGCTGTTGCTACTTACCATGTCCATAGAAAACAAGCCCTATAAAAACAATGCAAATTATTTTATTCTGGATGAGCACACATAATGTTCTTGCAAGTGAGTCAGATAAACCTACAGAAGAGGAGAAGTGGGAAAATGCTCCTTGAGTGAAGGGTAGCTTAGATGACTGCTTTTGAGTATATCTGACTATTGAGTTCAGGTAGTTCAGGTACAAATATGAAAAGAAAAAAACAACAACAACAACAACAAAAAATATTTGTTTAGTGTTCAGGTGCATATGTTTATTATTCTTACAGAGTCATTCAAAGCACTGAAAGTGATGTATTTACATCACATTTGTAACTTTGGTGCTGAAAATGCTTCTTCCTTTTCTTTTTAGTTTAGTCTCTACGATAGATATTGCTTTGTTAAATATTTTCTGAAATCTCTGAATAATTAAGGCATAAAATAAGTGATTTAAGAGCAAAATGTTGTTTATAAAAGTGCACTTGTCAGTGTCGGGGAGGTAAAAAGAAATAATCCTGCCGTGACAGTAGTCCCTCAGGAAGACCTTACCTTCCTGATATCATCCATGTTTCTTGTGGTTCAGAACACTTGTTAAGCTGAAAGGGGGGAAGAGGAGTGCATGACATTTAGACTTGTTGTAACATAAACCATTTCTTATCTCTTCCCTCAGTCCCTCTTCTCTGCCTCCCTTCTGTTTCCATTTACAACCTCACTATTCCTCCTGCCTCCTGGGACCACAGCCTTAGTGTAATCTTTGTTCTTCTTGCTTCCCTCTGCATATCTGAGACAAACTGTTTCTCTCTCTCTCTTTTTTTTTTTTTTAGTCACACACACACACAAAATCCACATTTCCCTTTTTTATTTATTTATTTTTTTTTAACTTCTAGAAGCATCATTTCTTCTTCTTCTCCTTTTTTCTTTTCTCCGAAGTGAATATTTTTATATCTCATTTCTATCTGTCTCACAGTTCCCATATCGGCCAGCCCATAGGGCTAAAATCCCAGGTGACACTACCAGTTCTACTTGTTAAACTTTTTTTTGTCATAAAGTGAACATTGTCCCATTGGGTTATAGAACTGAAGTCCTTTTCTTCCCTGTTTACTAAAAGACAATCTAAGAAATTATGCCAGAATGCACTGTTCTTCCAACCTAAACTGGTTCTCAGTAAGCCCAGATAGCATTTCTATGCCACTATCAACTTCTAGCTCATTTCACCCACAGTTGTTAGCAAACTTGACATGATTTTCATGTTAATTAGATGCTTGGCAGTCTAGGTTTTCATTTCTCAAATTTGTTAATCAGCCAAAAGTTCTTTTTTTGGATTTTCCAAGAAGCACTGATATCTTAGAAGAGCAGTCCAACATGCACTTTGCCTTATTTAGATTTAAAACATGAGCATCTCTATGCCTAAATCCCTTGGGGATCTGGTCTAGCTAGGTGCTCTGTGAGAAAGCTTAACACACACTGACAGCACAGAGTTTAGCAGCAAGTAGTCTTGACCACAGCCACTTACATTCAAAACACATTCAGAATATAAAGTAGTGCTGTCTTTCTTTCAGAACATTTGCCCAGGAAATGACAGATCTGGGAGGACCAGAATGATGCTAAGTTCCATTATGAGTTTCACCCGGAATTCTGTTGCTTCACTTCATTGGAAGAATATGAACAACAGTATTTGCATATTTTGTGCAGTGTTTTGAGATCAGTTGAAGAGAGCTGTTTAAAAAGATGAACAAATTTTAAGAGAAGCTTTGAAGCATCCAGAGTTTTACATTAATAGTTCTGCATTAATAGTTTTGAGGTGCAAAGAAATGCTGTTATAAATGGCACCACTTATGCCTTGTATTTTTCTATCTATGCAATCACCAAGCAAATGCAGTAGTTAGATATCTTATTGCAAGTCCACGTGGGAGAGCTAAAAGTATGATGTTAATGCAGCTAAATTAAGGACCATTAAGCCCTTGTATGGAAGCTCTTATTGAGAAGTAGAGTGCTTAAGAGAAGATTTTTTTTTTTTTTTTTTTTTTTTAAGTAATTTCTCTACATTAACTTCATAGCTTCAGTTGATTCATCACAACCTTTCCAACAGCTGGCAGTCCCAAGTGATACCAGTTTTTCACAAAAGTAAATCTTTGGAATCAGACCCTGTGATGGACACAGTGGAAAATCACAGAGAACAGCAAAAAAAAATAGCATGATAGTATAAAGCAGTGTATGCCTGCCCACTCAAACTGGGTGCTTGAGCTCAAACTTGATGTTTACAGCTGAAGTAAGCACAAAAGTCTGTGTGGCACAAGCTTTGGTAAGAGGATATTGGAAACTGTGCTATGTGAAAATGCTGTTGTGCATCCCATTACTCCATGCAGAGGTTCCCAAAAGAATCATTTTCTTTATGTCTATGGTGCTTCTTCATGCTTTATTAATTTTTGGAGGGATTCAGCTTGGCTACTTGGTTGTCACTTTATTGTCCCAATAAATATCGACTCTATGTAAAGAAAAATATAAAACTGCCAGATAAACGAAACCATATCTTATACTCTAAAGTCAATACAAGTTCCTTCTCTGTCATTAACACAGGAATTCTGCAAACTTTTCAGCAATGATAAGGCCACATCATGGACATAAATGCTGATACTTCTATGCTCTGGAATCACCAATTTTATTTAATAATTAGATTTTGGTTGTTTTCAGCTTTCATAACTCACTGATTTCAGTGGCTTCCAACTAATACATTAGCAATCTCCACCTCCACCCCAAACCACAGCATTATACCTAAAAGTTTGTGAAGGTAAGCATAACTGTGTCAGTTTCCACCTTACATTTCCATTCTTCAGTCATATATTGTTTTGCTTATTATAATGCTTAAGTTAATAGAGGAACAACCATAACGATGATAGAGTAAGAAACAAAAGCTTCTATGTCTCATGTGGAAAATAAACAGAATATTTTCTCATTCTAAGAGTTATCACATCTATGAAGGACAAATGTAATACTAGTTGTTACTACTGTTTTTAGGTTTTAAAGGACCTTAATAACTTCACTTCAGTGTTTTAGGAGCATCACAACCTTTTTTTTTTTTTTTTTTCCAATAAACGTCTTCTCAATTAAAAACATTAAAAAATTAAAATCTTCTGTAGGCATTAGATAGGTTTCATTTCATTTGCATAGATGATGCTAAATAGATTTATTAATGTAATTTGGTCACTACTATCTTATAGCATTTAGCTAGGCATTAAGTGTAGACAAACAGAAGTAATATTTGAAAGCATTTCAGTTTAGGGTCATATAATTAAATTTTGATGCTGATCTTCACAAAAGTATCTACCTATGAGGGATAAGCATGACAGTCTTCATAGATAGATGCCATATCATGTGCATTTACTTTATCACAAGTTACAGTGAACTAGGGCTTGTGCTTTTTTCCTCTTCAGCTGTGCATTTTGTTGTTAAAGTGCACATAGACTTGCATTTCCCATTTAGAGAGATCAATATTTCCTGCCCTCCCACCCTTTATTTCTCTCTGCCCACCATTTTTCTTGTCAGATTGTGTTCCCCATTGCTGGGTGAGCAGTTTATGAGAAATAAACCACTGAGGCACATCAAAGCTTATAAGAGGGCCAGGTCAGTAATCCAGTAGCTGAGTTTTTCAATCCATTCTCTTTCAAGTAGCTTATTTTAAAAGATACAACAGAAATAAAACATTATTGTGTCTCCTGTT